CGAAATCGACGGCTCCGATCACTCGGGACCTGCTTGGCGGGTGTTGTACCCTGGACTCCAAGGAGTTGGACCTCGATTTGCAGGTCCCTTGTGGCTGGGAAAAACGCCTCGATTTGAAGGTACAATAATTTCCCCCTCTTTTTTTTTTCCTTTAATTTTTATTCGACTTAACAATTAAATATCAAATATCATTTGAATTTTTCAATATTTTGATGTTTATTGTTTCTATTTTTATTTTTATTTTTTTTATTTTGTTATTGAAATTGAAATTGTCTGCTTGAATTTTATTATTTATTTTCTTTATTTTTGCAGTCATTTAATCAGAATGTTCAATTTACTTTACCAAATTATGTGCAATTATTATTGAGATTTTATTGTGATGCATAATTAAATTTAATTATTTATGAAGCTTTGTCGTTATAGCAACCAGTTGAGTTGTATCAATTAATTGATGTATCAATTAATGATTTTTTTTTTTTTTTTGTTTCTATGTGTCTCGTGTTCGTGTAGAGTCGTCCTCTTGTCTTTTGGCCTGACTTGTTTCTCATGTTACGTTATTATCCCCTGTCCTAAAAAACTAAATAAATTAATCAATGTAACACAACAATAATAAATATATTTTAATTAAAAATAAAATAATATACATGCACATTACTGAATTAATTAATGCACACAATTATAATAAGCACCATTTAATTAATAAAAAAAGTACATATCTTCCCATTGGAAAAAGTCAACTCCTTGTAATAAAGTCAACCCTGATTACCTTCATGGCTTCATATTATTCCCAGTGTTTGACAAAATACACAATAAAAAAATGATCAAAATTTGATTTGATTACTAAATTATTATGGCTATTTCCAGTCAGGAAAAGTCTATCTCCAGAGATGCAACTCGTCCAACTCATCATCCTCCACGTCAGATCCAAAACCCCGGCCGCCGCCAGCTGTCGCCTCCAAATTCCAAGACCTTAATTTCCCGCCCACGTCATCGAAACCGACGACACTCGCGCTTTTCGATGACGCCGGCTTGGACTTGAAGCTCGTGGCCCCACCGCCCTCCGCGACGTCGGCATCGAACTACCAAAGCGTGTGCACGCTCGACAAAGTTAAGTCCGCGCTCGAGAGGGCCGAGAAGGAGACTTTTGTTAGGAAACGCTCGATTTCTATGTCGAAGTCGAAGTCGAAGTCGTGTTCTCCAACCCGGTCAACCTCATCGTCGTCCGTTGATCTCGAACGTGACGATGAGGAGAAATCGACGGCCTCGATTGCAGCGGGATGTCCCGGTTGCTTGCTTTACGTGCTGGTATCGAGAGGAAACCCCAAGTGCCCGAGATGCAACCACGAGGTGCCATTGCCGGGTTCGGTTAAGAAGCCGAAAATCGATCTTAATATGTCTATTTGAAATTTGAGGAGGGTTTTGGAGGGAAGGGGAGAAACAATTAATTAATTTAAGAGTTTCTCTGTTTTTTTTTATTTATTTATTTGGGATTTTTGTAAAGATAGAAAAAAAAGGATGGAACAAGGGTTATAAAGAAGAAAGGAATGGTATATATATTATGATCTTATGAAAGGTTTTTGTTCTTTCTTTACTTTTTTTTTTTTTTTTTTTTTT